CTCAATTAAATTCTAGTGCTTCTTCTATTAGTGAAGTTTTTAGAAAAAATATATGAAACGACGCAACGCACTTTGGGTCGCTATGGAAACAGCCTCCTTGTATAATTACAAGAGTAAGGTCTGCGTACAACTGACCCCCAGACCCCAACCTGTTGGGAATATAATGGGGTATGTTGATGTTGATCTTCATCTTTTTCTAAATGTAGGTCTTGATATGACCGAAAAAATTTCAGAATCAGGATCGTTTTTCGGTAGCTCCTCGCCACTCAAGGGCATCACCGTGGATAAATCTGTGGAGTTTATGTATGAAGAACTAGCCGAGGCCACAGATAATTTTAGCATATCTTTTAAAATCGGGCAAGGTGGTTTTGGAGCTGTTTACTATGGGGAGCTAAGAGGCGAGGTTTGTGCTAATTATGCTATAAACTAGTAAAAATACAGTATGTTTTTATTTTGTTTTTAATTTTTTCTCCCATATTCAGAAAGCCGCTATAAAAAAGATGGACATGGAAGCTTCGAAGGAGTTTCTGGCTGAGCTTAAGGTCTTAACGCATGTTCATCATGTGAACTTGGTAACTAAAACAAACAAAATACTCATTCTTTGGTTAAAATTTGTACTGTTCTTGATTTTTAACTTATACATAGTATTTTTTTTTTTTCGTGTTTTTTTAAATATAGGTGCGCTTGATAGGATATTGTGTCGAAGGTTCGTTGTTTCTGGTTTACGAGTATATCGAAAATGGTAACCTTAGCCAACACTTGCGCGGTAAAGGTAAGTTTTTATTTTGAATTTCTCTATATTTGACACCCATTTTCTTTTGTATAAATTTGATATTTTTTTTTTTCTTCAGTTACAGAGCCTTTACCATGGTCCACCAGAGTGCAAATTGCCCTTGATTCCGCGCGAGGACTCGAATATATACACGAGCATACGGTTCCAGTGTATATCCATCGAGACATCAAATCTGCAAATATTTTGATAGACAAGAATTTTCGAGCCAAGGTCTTTTATAATAACATCTTAAGCATAAAACACCACATTTCAACCTTAAAAAACCTCGGTTCGAAAGGCATTTAAGCTATAAAACATTGAACTCTTTCCCATTCAGGTTGCCGATTTTGGTCTCACTAAACTGACTGAATTCGGAGGTGCTTCTTTGCAAACACGTCTCGTTGGAACGTTTGGATACATGCCCCCAGAGTAAGTTACTCGAAATCTCAAAAAATAAAAAATAAAAAATAAAAAATGACACGTTTATCCTTATAATATTTCGAACAAATTTTGATCCATATTGTTAAAGTTGTTTTTTTTTTTTTTTTTTNNTTGGTTATTTTGGCCCTCCGTGAAGATACGCCCAATATGGAGATATTTCACCTAAGATAGATGTGTACGCGTTTGGCGTTGTTCTTTTCGAATTACTATCCGGAAAAGAAGCGATCGTGAAGAAAAATGGAGTCTTTACAGAATCAAAAGGCCTTGTTGGATTGGTAAA